TAAGGGTAGAAAAGCATACAGGAGCTCCCTTGGCCATGGGCTCCGTAATGCATCCCTTGGCCATGGGCTCCGTAATGCATCCGGGAGAAGAAGCGAACCAGTTGGGCATTGAAGGGAGATGCAAATAGGTCTACCTATGGAAGACCGAAGCGGTGACAGATCTCCCTGAAGATCCTTGGGTGTAGTTGCCACTCCGAGTGATCTATTGTTGTTCTGCTCAACAGATCTGCCTGGATGTTTGTTTCCCCCGATATGTGGTCGGCCTTTATTGAGGCCAGATTTTGTTCCACCCAGGCTCCCAGTAGGAGAGCCTCGGCCGAAAGAGCACGGGAGTGCGTGCCCCCGACGGTTTATGTGGGCCTTGGCTGTCACGTTGTCCGTTAGGACTAATACGTGACTGCGTGTTAGGCTGCTCTGGAAATGTCTTAACGCTAGTGAATGGCTCAGAGTTCGAGCCAGTTTATGTTGTGCCGGGGGTCCGCTACTGACCAGCGGCCCTGTGTCCACTCGGTCCCCAGGTGAGCTCCCCAGCCGAACAGGCTTGCATCGGTTGTGACTACTATTCTGTCCGGTTCCTGAAAAGTAAGCCTCTGAGAAGGGCCGGAAATAGCCACCACTTGAGGGAGTGCTGTACTCCCAGTGGTAGACTTACCCTTCTTCGGGATGCACTGAGTTTCTGCCTCTGAAACGGGAGCATGAACCACTGTAGTTCCCTTGAGTGCAGTCTTGCCCATGGGACGATTGCTATGGTCGAAATCATCTTCCCTAACAGGTGGGAAAGGCAGACTAGCGTCACTGACTGACCGCAGTTTACCTGCTTTACTGTCTCCCTTATGTTGCTGAGCCGTTCCTGGGATAGGTACACCTTGCACTCCATTGTGTCTATGACAGCTCCCAGATGTAGTATCCTCGTTGTTGGAGTTAAATGGCTCTTGGGAAAATTCACCAAGAAGCCGTGATCCTGCAGCAGCTTTACTACTAATTTTAGATCCGCCTGAGCATGGTGGGCGGACGTTGATTGGATTAGAATATCGTCCATGTAACACTGGACTTTGACAGGAATGGTCCTTAGGTGTGCTGCCAGAACCGCCAGTATCTTGGTGAACACCCTGGGCGCTGATGATAGGCCGAATGGTAGCACTCTGTATTGGAAGTAATGTCCCCTGTAAGCGAACCGTAGAAACCGGCGGTGAGCCAGAGAGATGGGAATGTGTAAGTATGCCTCCGTGAGGTCGATAGATGTCAGAAAATCCCCTTTTCTTATGCTTCCTAGGATGGAGCGCAGTGTTTGCATTTTGAATTTTTGGTACGTTAGATAGAAATTTAGCCTTTTTAGATCCAGAATGGCTCTCCATCCCTCTGATGGTTTCGGAACCACGAAGAGGATAGAATAGAATCCCTGGCCTCTCTGGTCCATAGGCACCAGTTCTACGGCCCATATGCTTAAAAGGTGTTGAACGGCTTCGTTCATGAGTTTTCTCTTTGTTGGGTTCGCGGAACAGGGGCAGGGGCGGAAACGTTTCGGGGGATTGGAGAGGAATTCTAGGGAGAGACTGTGGCGTATGGTGTCTCTGACCCATACGTCCGTGGTGGTTTCTTCCCACTGGGGGGCAAACTGTGCTAGCCTGCCCCCTATGGGAAGGTCTGAGAGGGAGTCATCTGGTGCGGCGAAAGGGGCGGTTGTTCCCCCGAAAGGGCTGTCTTCCTTGCGCCTGCCTATGTCTTGTGTTTTGTCTATCTGTCTGTCTTTCCTGCCTATCCTGCCTAGGTTGGAAAGGTTGGGAAGCCTGGAAATAACTGAACCTGGTTTCAGCACGAAAGGATTGTTTCCTTCCGAAGAAGCCGGGTCTCCTGTCCTGCTTCTTAAGAATGTGTTTGAGGACCTTGCGCTTGTCCTTGTTCTCTGTTAGGTAGGGCGTTAGCGCCTCCCCAAACAACTTTGTCCCTTGGTATGGAGCCGAAGCCAGTTTCCACTTGGATTTGGCATCGGCCTGCCAATTTTTTAGCCAAAGAAAGCGTCTGCTCGTGATGTTTGACGCTATTGCCTTAGCTGAAAATTTGGCCGCTAAGAGTGTCACATCCGATGCATATTCCGTGGCTGCTACCATCTTGCTGAGTTCCTGGTGGGTACGGATGTCCTCCACCGGAACTCGTAATTCCCGGAGCCAACAAAGTGTGGCTCTGGTGAAAAAGGAGGTGGAGGTAGCTGCCCTGGTAGCCCATGCTATCGCTTGGTGTGTTCTTCTATAGGCGGACTCACCCTTTCGGTCCTCGGCCTTAAGAGCCTCTGCAAAATCTCCTGATATGGCTGTGTCCGATATCAGGGGTCCTATGGGTTCGTCCACCGCTGGTACTTTCAGGGCTCCCTCCAGCTCCCTGGCTACATTAAATAGCCTCTTCTCCGTGTTGCTGGGAAAAGGGAGGGAGGCTGGTGCTGACCACTGTTTCCTTATTATGTTTAGGAACAGGGTCGGACATGGTATGCGGTGTTGAGTGGTTACCTTTTTGGCGAACCTTGGATCAGCCACCGTGTCAACTGTGATGGGTTCCACTGCTGTCCCCTGACCAAGATGGGCTGTGGCCTCAGCCTTGCGTAAAATAGTGACAAAAAGAGAAGGGTTAAAAAGGCCATTAAATGAAGGCACCTGAGGTGAGTTGTCCTCCTCTTCGGACATTTGGCTCTCCTGAGACGTACCTGGTTGGTCAAGGTAAGAATCCTCGGAGATCGACAAGTCTGAGAGGGAAGAGGGGTCCTGATGGTCCTCTGTCTCCTCCCAAAGTCTCGATCTATGCCTTTGTGGCTTGGGCTTGGAGGCCTGAGCCCTGGACTCAAATGCGCGGTCTACTGCCTGCGCTATTAAGGTCGCTAGTAGGTCCCCCGTCAGAGCAGTAGGGGTAGTCATTACCTGCGTCCCTGCTGGAGCCGGAGTTAACTTGGTCACCGGAGACTCTTGTGCCCCACCTGGTAAGGAGGATCGGGAAAGCGATGAGAATTCACCTATCCCGCCTCGTGCTGGGGACTGAGATGAATCCCCAGTAGACCAAATGCCCAGTGGGGATGAAGAGATCCCCAGTGGTAGTTCGGGAACCATTCCCCCACTCTGACTCTTTTCAATTCTTGCCCTTTTTTGGGCCCTGCTAAATTCTTTTTCCACGGCTTTCTGATTGCATGTTTGTCTGCCTTCTTGGATGATTTCTTTACAGCCTTGATTTTGGAGGCTGTTGAGGCTTCAGAACCCTCTGACACGGGTACTCCTGAAGCTGAAGGCAAGGCTCCAGTGGAGGTCATGATCGTCTCCTCCATTCACTACTAGCATAGGGTCACGACTGGGGAACCCCAGTAGTAGGAAAATAACTACTCTGAGTATGCACAGGTGCACTACCGGGGACGCCTGATAAAACAACCCAGGTACAGATACTTCAATCTGTCTGACTTAATTTTAGTGCACGGATAATTCAGGCACACTAATGGGGATGCCCGGAATCCGGCTTGATTGTAGTGGGCAGGGACAGGTACATGACTGGGGATGCCCGTAAATCACCACCGATAATCCAGAAACGTACGGGCCACTAATGGGGAGCCCGAAGTCCGGATGGAGCCAGCAAGGAATTAGGTTGGAACAGAAGGAGTTGATTTAAGTCAAAAAACCCCTCTAGTTTTTCAGGCGTGGGGCACCAAGTCTTGGAAAGGGAAGTTATGAGCCTTAGGGTTTCCTCTAGAGTATATGTTATATGAAGGTGTTGAATATTACTTGCTCTAGTATTTATTACGATTTCACTTTAAAGCCGGGCTGAATAGTTTCCTTGCGAGGATTGAGCTTCCTTTGTTCTACTTGCAAAAAAATGGCCACCGCAACCTGGAAACTACTGCGCAGGTGTCAGTAGTCCACCGCGCATGTGCAGAAGCTTCCCTCGCATGCGCAGAAGCCTCTGCTGTTGCCTGCGCCATGTGCAAATAAAACAAAGAATCACGCGTGCGCTGAGCTGCTCCGGTAATGGCGGCTCTTTTAAAACTCCCCGAGGAATGCCCGGCAGTTAAAAATGCGGCGTTTTGCCTTCCAGCTGCCTCGCACCGTATGGGAAGGCTTCCGCAGCTACCTCCTTCCTCGCAAACGCTCCCCCCCCACTAATCCTTTATCTCCGTGAGGCTAAATAGCTTCTGCTATTAAATGGCTGGGCTTAACCTGCCGCTCCACCGATTGGCTTGATCTTTTTTTTTTTTTTTTTAAAGTAAGTGGAGGGTTGAGGGCTGGGTTAGGGAAGGAGTCTAAGGGATTCCCCCTCCCCCCTCTATAGAGAGGAAGACTGTCCCTCTGGTACGTCTGATTCTTAATCTGTAATCTTGAAGAATTTTAAACAAATAATTTAGTCTATTCAATTCCAATTTAATTTAAATTAGCCTAAACCTGCAGCTACTGTAAGATAATCCACCAATGGAAAGGAACTATACCTGCCTAGGAGCCAAAGTTGTATGTCTGAATCCTGGGCGAGATCAGTCAAGACTGGGAATCTCGTGGTCCAGAACGGGCGTGGCAACTTTGGCTGACTGATCTGATTGGGCAGGAATACAGTCTCAACCCATTGGTGGATTATCCATCTCCAGTGCTGGAGAACTACTATTAATTCAGAAAACATAATTTTTAAGGGTATATCTCTTCCATGAGCTGCATAACTTTCCAATTAGCATTTTTACATACAAATTAATATAAAATGTTATGTAAATTATTTTTGAATAAAAAATAGAGGAAAACATAAAGTTTGCCAGTTCTTCAATTCATGATGGTTATGTAGATGTCCTGATTGTTTTTCTTGTCTTTGACTACTGAATTTTACAAGAGGGAAGAGAGAAATACTTGGAAGTCTATTTGGTAGACGGAAATATGTACATTTACAAATTTCACATATAACTTAAGTAACACACTACCAATATTTCATCCATATATTCTAAATATTCACAAAAAAGTAGAAAGTTAAATACAAGTATCAAAGAGAAAACATACCACATCTATTTCCATTCTCTTCATCCTGTAAAAGATGCAGAAAAATCCAAAGTCACTATTTTTTTATTACAGCCTTTTTATAATACAAAAGGCTTTATTCATAATTCATTTCACTCACTTTTAAAGAAATCTGAATAGCAGATTCTGGGGGGTAAACAATAAAGTGTCTTAAGGTAAAACCAAAACCTATTGGTGATCGTCGTAAAACTATCAATTTGAGTCCAGGCCAAGATAAAGTTTCTTCATCTTCTGACAATGACACTGTTTCACACTGCCCTTTTTCATCTTCATGTTTGGATACCTAGGAAGAGACAAGAAAAAACAAACAATTTAATGTCTTTAATTTCATGTAGTACATTATGTTTTTGGAAGCAATTTTACTCAGGGAAGTGGACCTGTGCAAAAGACTCTTATGTTATTCTGTTGTTTTGTTATATATCAAACTTCAATGTTGATTCTATCAGTTCTTCTAATATAATAATTTTATAACATAAATGAAACAGATAAAAGAAAATTATATATCCTTCTCTCTTGTTGTTGTTAATTGCGAAGTCGTGTCCGACCCATCGCGACCCCATGGACAATGTTCCTCCAGGTCTTCCTGTCCTCTACCATCTTCTGGAGTCCATTTAAGTTCACACCTACTGCTTCAGTGACTCCATCCAGCCATCTCATTCTCTGTCGTCCCCTTCTTCTATTGCCCTCAATCTTTCCCAGCATTAGGCCCTTCTCCAGTGAGTCCTTCCTTCTCATTAGGTGGCCAAAGTATTTGAGTTTCAACTTCAGGATCTGGCCTTCTAAAGAGCAGTCGGGGTTGATCTCTTCTAGGACTGACCGGTTTGAACGCCTTGCAGTCCAAGGGACTCGCAGGAGTCTTCTCCAGCACCATAGTTCAAAGGCCTCAATTCTTTGGCGCTCAGCCTTTCTTATGGTCCAACTTTCACAGCCATACATTGCAACTGGGAAAACCATGGCCTGGACTATACGCACTTTTGTTGGCAGGGTGATGTCTCTGCTTTTTAGAATGCTGTCTAGATTTGCCATAGCTTTCCTCCCCAGGAGCAAGCGTCTTTTAATTTCTTGGCTGCAGTCCCCATCTGAGGTGATCTTTGAGCCCAGAAAAATAAAATCTGTCACTACCTCCATTTCTTCCCCATCTATTTGCCAGGAATTGAGAGGGCCGGATGCCATGATTTTGGTTTTCTTAATGTTGAGTTTCAAGCAACTTTTGCACTCTCCTTCTTCACCCGCATCAAGAGGCTCTTTAGTTCCTCTTCACTTTCTGCCATTAGAGTGGTATCATCTGCATATCTTAGGTTGTTGATATTTCTCCCGGCAATCTTAATTCCAACTTTTGTTTCATCTAGCCCTGCCTTTCTCATGATGTGCTCTGCATATAAGTTAAATAGGCAGGGCGACAATATACAGCCTTGCCGGACTCCTTTTCCAATTTTGAATCAATCAGTGGTTCCGTGTCCAGTTCTCAGTGTTGCTTCTTGACCTACATATAGGTTTCTCAAGAGACAAATAAGATGGTCTGGTATTCCCATCTCTTCTCTCTACCTTATCCTAAACCACGTTATACCATAAAACTAAATTCTTACATTAGCTTTTTGTTCATAATAAAGATTTCTCAAGTGTCCTGGTCCAACTCTTAATTTTAAGGTGTTTCACATTCTAGCATGACTTATATTGTCAAGATCTCGCTGTAGTCAATCAAGCAAAGAAAAAACTCCTCAAGTTCTTTTGTTCTCCCCCTACCCACCTTACACTAAGTATCCAATCTCATATTCCTTTGTGTTTTCCAAAACCCATTTGTTCATTTTGCATGTTCCTCTCTTGTATGCCTTTATTCTTAATTGTAAAATCTTAAGCAAAAGTGATGCACTTAGTAACACTCTATGCTTTTTAGATGTAGTCTTGTAATTTGTATAAAATTCCCCACTGTCTTCTACAATTATATCCGTATTAATTGTAGACACTTGTATAACGTATCATTAATGTTTACTAGTATCCACTATTTTAATAGATATTTTCCTGTCATTTGTAAGGTTATAGCCAAGCCTTCTAAGTATCTTTGCTACTCTATTCCTTCATAGCCTCATGTCTTGAATAGTAAGCAAGTTGTCTGATTTGGATCCAACTCATATCTTTTTTCAATTTTTCTGAAGTACAGAAAGTAGTTCCAATGAAGATACCCAAGAGTAACATGGGAACATTTTAGTTTAATTCAACTTGATTATATATTGAACCAATTTATTTAACTTAGAAAGTTATACCCTAGTATTCTGATAATTTAACCAAAGGTTCTCTATAGAAGTATATGCAGTCTTGATTCATTTTTCTAGTTAGTAATAGAGTCAAAGGATTTCCCTCATGGCATACTTCCAAGATTCCCAGGCATTTGGAAGGAAACACCTTGAACTGCAATGGAAACTATGGCAAGGTGTACTGTACTATAATACAAAACTACTGTTCATATCTCACCCTCCCACACAAAGAAGCAAGGATTTTAGTTTGCCTTGTAGAAGGAGAGGTAAAATTTAATTCCAAGTTTAAGGACAAGTTTAATAATCAACAACTTCTTCTTCTTCTTGTGCCATATCCGTTATCAGATGGTGGCGATCATGTTGGCGATCCTGTTTTTATCAGCAGCTGCACGAAAAAGTGCTGCTGAGCTTTGTCCAAACCAGTCCCTTACTCAAGAATCAGTATTATTTCAAGGCTGACTGAGTATCCATTTAAATATATATATAGTCTATTTTAATGTTATCTATGAATCCTTTCTACCCAAGAGAACATATTTCACATTTCATCACATTTCAAAACAGGGCTAATATGGGACAGGCTATCTGCAAATGCAATACGGGAGAAAAAATGTAGTTTTACTGCCCTTATCACCACTAGATAATCTTAACAGTAGCTCTAATCCAGGCTCAACTATATTTGTCCCTTGTTAAATGTCAGGAGCATTCTATACATCTCTTCTCCTAGTTCATCTTCTTCATCTCTTCTGTGAACCACAGAGAGTGACGGAATCCACAAGAAGACAGGTGTGAGTCAATCCAAAGTCTTGTGGTAACCAAGGCTTCAGCCAGGCAGTGCAGCAGACCAGCAGGACACTTTCCAAGCTCTCTCTAAAACCTATCCAGGTCCATCAGTTGTGAATGTACACTGATCTTCAATAGTAGTGCCAGAGAACTTAATGGTAATCAGTGCATGATCTGATCATGACAAACGGGTCACCAAAAGCTCTCCCGCTTTCAGATCCAATGAGAAAGCCAGATCAACTTACAACCTCTGTCCTGTTTTGGGTCCTTAATGACATGGGATACACCCATGGTTGTCATGGTGACTATGAATTCCTGAGCTGCTTCTGATCCCAGTCTTAAAGAGGCTGCCACTTGAAGACCCTTAAGACCTGAAAATGGAGTTCAAGCAACTTAGGCAGGAAGGCTGCTATGCAGTAGGGAACCTGTACATAGCAACAATCCCAATTGATCCTTAGAACCCAACAAAATGAACAGGGTATCAAATCTGGCAACCTGTGAAACAGCATTCTTGGAATGGAATCCTTTTAAAAGATGTTCCAGAGTTGGAGCAATGCAATAGATTACTTTGCAATACTTTGTCATTATGGTGACAAAGTAACATTATCTAGTAATTATGGGCCCCAATCCAAAAAACATTTTTGATTTGAGGTTAATGCATTTACATGGTTACCGTATTCATAGTGGAGGGATAAAAAGAAAGTGGTGTTAGACACTGAGAAACCACTAAGACTTTCCAAGCTAGTTCTCATGAAGAATATTTGGCTTGCATAGAAGAGACTGATCTATAATTGAAGTATGAAATACATATTTACAGTTTTTAAAATCCAGAGGAAATGTCATCTCTAGTAGTTACATGTGACAAATTATATAAAAATAAAATTAAGAGATAAAATACTTCTTTTAAGTATACTTCTTCTTTTAATATATGATACATGTATAAGTATTGTCATGGGTCATCTTATAGATAGATTTGTATAGATTGATCTACAATATCCCTCTAACGGAAATATTAGAACTGGTTGTCAAAATGTGGAATAAATCATTTATTCTTCTAAGTAAGTAATTTCATATTCCAGATACCATGTTTGTCTTCTATTACAGGAAGTGTATTGCCATTTTTCTTTTTCCCTGTATAGGTAGCAATTGGTTCAAAATACTAAAGATTTAATCTAGCATATCTATTTTAGACTGAGGGCAGGGAGATTGTTCTATAGTACAATAGTAAGCACAACTCATTGAAACTGCAAGATAAAACTGCTTCTCTAAAACATGCATAAAAATATTGAAAAATGAACAGTATCAACTAAGTTCCACTATCTAATTTTAACGGCCCCTCATATTCATTTTCATTAAAATGGTTACTCCAAAGTCTGTGATTTTGTGAGTATGGAATTTAAAATGGCCATCAATGGTTCCCTAATGATGTTGATCTTTATACTCCCCAGTTTTACTTGCACAGTCAGTTCAAGATCTTCATCAAACCATAAGAACCATACAACTAAGTTTTGACAATATAATATAAGGGAATCTGTATATAAAGAACTATTTATGAAAATAAAAGAGGTAATAACAACAGTGGCAGGCATTTTGTTGGGTCCAGCAGAGGACTTCTGTCTATGAGTATTTTGGTCAGTTGTCTCGGGTAGAATACAGCCCATTTTTGCACAAATGAGCAAAGCTTGCCCATTACTTGCTATTGGAGCTTGCCTCTCTTCATAGGCTACAGTTGAGGTGAATAAACTGTAAGGTCACCTTGAGTAGCTTTCCCCTCCCTCCCAAGGGAATTTACATCACAACACAAAAGATCACCATGCTCAAATAAGGATGGAATGTCTACTTGGACAGTGATCTTTGCCATTATACGAAAAAGAATACCCTCCCGCTCTTTCTACAATGGAAGCAGCAATGTTTTCAAAAAAAAGGACAGAATGATTAAACACACACACACACACACACACACACACACACACACACACACACACGCACACACAAATCCAAGAGATGTCTAAGTAAAACAGGCCTAATACCTTTTTATGGCTTTGCACTGAGACTTCTTAAGTATAACCAATTGTTAATATTAATTAACTCAAGCTTCATGAGGCAACAATTAGCAAATAAATGATGATTAGAAAATAAATACTTATCATACTGTCTGGAGCTGTAAGTTGGTTATAAAACCAAAACCTTGTACAACATTCCTAGCAGAACATGGACAACGTTCTAGCCAGTAACTTAAGCTACACTTTAA